ACACACACACACACACACACACACACACACACACACACACACACACACACACACACACGAGTCATCAGTCCAGAGCATGTAGGATTGTCATCCGCTCCTACAACATTGGGGAAAATTAAATCAGTCCACAGACATACGAACTGGCCTGAGTCGGGCATGGGAGATAGAAAAGAACAATCTCCGTGGGTTTCTCAGCCTGGACTTCAGATCAAAAGCTAAAAGAGGCGAACTCTCTTGAGCCCCAGTCCCCATTAGGTCTGCATTATGGTTCCATTCTGAGCCATGGGAGGGAAGGTGGGGAGTGAGAAAAAGGAGGAAGGAAAGAGGACAGGGAGAAAGTTGTAGAGAAAATGCGTAAGCACATGGGCGTGGAAAAGAACTATAAAGCCACAAGTACTTAAGGGCTCATCACGTTCAGAGCCTTCCTGCCCTCGCACCACTGGAGGGTCCCCTCAGCTCTAAGAAGTAGGCAGGGCAGGAATGATCCCAGTTCACAGAGGAAGCCACTGAGGTCCACGGAGGTGTGACTTACCCAAGGGCACCCAGCAGAGCAGCGGGTGACAGAACCTACATGGGCACCCGGGGCTGCTGCCCTGGTCCCAGGGCCCAGCGCTCTCCAGCACAGACCTTAGCCACAGGCTCAGGAATGATAAGTGGGGGAACTGGAGTCTGGACGGGTCATCTAGGATTCTCCTTCTGGGTCTTAATTGTTCCCCACGAGAAGGAGCCCACACTCAGCTGAAAGGCTGAGCGGAGACCCCTGCAGCCGCTGGCCTCACCTGGGCCAACCCCCTCCATCATCTTTTTCCCACAGGCTCCTTTGCCAGCACGTTGCCCACTTATCAGCGCTCTGAGGTGATCCTTTTCATCATGAGCAAGGTCCCACTGCCTTCCCTGCATCACCCCATTGAGACCGGGAAGACAGGGTGAGTCCACCATGCCCTCCTTCGCTTCCTCTTCTCCCAGTCTAGGTTCCACCCCAGCTGCCCCTTCCCATGTTTTCCCGTTCTCTCCTTTCTCCACCTTAACTTTCCTGGTTCTGCCCTCACTTCTATTCTCTTGGTCTACTCTCAAATCCCTCAGTAGCCTTTAGAGGGACCCTTGGATCCCACAGCAATTCCTCAGGCTGCCCCCCCCCCAATAACTAACTCCCACCTTGGGGGAGCCATTAATTCCCTGGTCTGCTTCCTGGCTCTGGAAGTCACTGTCCTTGTTAACACAACCAGATAAGCCTCATAGAGAATCTAATCATAAGGGAGGACTATGCAGGCAAGTGTGGGGTCTCTGTCCAGATCATCATCCTGGTGAGTATGAATGTCTCTGTGGTCTACAGGGAGAACAGGAACCGGCTGACCCAGATTATGCTACTGAAATCTCTCCTTCAGGTGAGCCTCTCTGGTCCCCACCCCTGCTCTGCCTCTGCAAGGGGCAGCTCCTTCCAAGGCCAAGGGATGGCTACAACATAGAGTTGTGCAGGTTGCACACTGCACAAATTTGCCCAGCAGAAGAGGTGAGTAGGGGACTGCAATCCAACCTGTGTTCCACTCACTAGCCAGACTGGGCACCCACAATGCTGGGTCATCTAGAGCTGGTAGGGTGTCGGTTTCTAATTTTCACAAAGGTTCCTTATCAGCTACTAATAGCCTTGTCACTCAAACGTGATCTTTGTATTGAGATGGAATCTATTGGTTTCTGCCCTTTTTACCCTCCAAGGACCTCCCAGCTCTGTTTTCCCCTGGGTGCTTGTGCCCACCTCATCTCCCAGCCACTATCTTTCTTTCATCAGTGCTTTACATTCCTCTTCTTTACATCTTTGCAGCCATCACTGGAGTCTAGATTCCTTGTTCTTAAATGCCATTCCCACGACCAATTTGTTGAAATACCGATTCCCTAAAGATTCTGAGCTGTCCACCTGAGTGGAATCCTGGAATCTGTAATTGTTAACAAGCTCCTGAGGTATTCTTATGGACATCTCACAACTAGATTATTCTCCTAGTTGCTCTTATTTCCACCTCTCATCCCATATCATAAGTACAACCACAAGAAGAATTTTCTAGAAATGCTGTTCCCCACATGTTGCTCCTTGTTAAGGAGCAGGTCTCAGTTACCAGCTGATGTACATCCAGAGTTCATACAGGCATACCTCGGAGAGATTGGGGGTTTGGTTCCAGACCATCTCAATAAAGCTAATATAGCAATAAAGCAAGTCACATGAATTTTTTGGTTTCCCAGTGCATATAAAAGTTTTGTTTATACTATACTGTAGTCTATTAAATGTGTAATAGCATGTCTAAAAAACAATGTATATGCCTTAATTAAAAGTGCTTTATTGCTAAAAAAAAATGCTAACCATCATCTGAGCCTTCAGTGAGTCGTAATCTTCTTGCTGGTGGAGGGTCTTACCTTCCATTTGTTAAAAAAGCAATATCTGTGAAGTGCAATAAAATGTGGTATGCCTGTACTTCTCAGACTGATGTTGGAGGGTTTCTAGTCCCCTGTCCCTCTCTCGAGTCCCCATCTCATCCCTCAGCGCATCTCTGCTGTAGCCATGCCATCTGCAGAGTCCCTGCACTCCCACGCATGCTTTTCTTTCCCTCTCTCCAGCCCACACCTTCAGGTCACTCAATTTTTATAAAGGCTTTTCATGCTGATGCTGCCCACATCTGGTTACCTCCTTGATCTCTGTACTCCTGCCATTTCTTTGCCGAGTTTGTCCTCATTAGTTTGTACCTGGCATCTTATTAAGATGACAGTTGGGGGCGCACTCAGATGCATCCCCCTTCAGTGAACATTAATGTTTCCTGTTGATGGCACAAGGCTTTGCTAGATCCTCCAGGGCCTGCTGATTCATCAAAAGTGTTGTTTTGCACTATGGACTTAACAGTAAATATGTTTTGCTGCTTCTGGTTACTTTGACATCACGTATGATGTGTCTATGCCAACTGGCTTTAATCAGAAGGCTCCCTTCGTGGCTCTGCTGGAAGAGATGTAACTAAATGCTGTGCGCGTTCTTTGGTGCATGCGCATAGGTTTGGATTCCTCAGCCCAGCTGAAAGTTCTTCCACTGTCTCTCCATTTCTTTGTGACTGTCTATGCTCTTAGTGAAGCATTTTATTCACAGTGAGGGTTCATCAGTTGTGCCCTGCTGGGCTGGAATGTAAGTTCAGAGGCTCCCTGATTCCTGCTCTTCTCTACTGCTCATCCCGTGCTTGCTTTTAACCACTTAATGCTCCTGGATACTGTCCCCATCTACCCACATGTCTACTGAGATGAGCCGGAGAGGTCACCTAGCTAGCGTGTTCAAAAACATTGTCTAAGGCATCCAGGGCCTGGGGTGGGTCTGGACTGGGGGAATCTGAACCCAGGGAGCTGGACTGGGAGATATCAAGAGAGGATGGACACTTCAGACCCATCCGCTGCTGGGCACTCTGTCTCCTCACTGCACCTGAGAGCGCCAGCGTTCCTAAGCACAGCCATCCTTGGCTCCCTCACAGGTGTCCACAGGTTTCCAGTGCAACAACATGATGTCAGCACTGCCCAGTAACTTCCTTGATCGCCTTCTCTCCACTGCCCTCATGGAGGATGCAGAGATCCGTCTCTTCGTTCTAGAGATTCTCATCAGTTTCATTGATCGTCATGGCAACCGCCACAAGTTCTCTTCCATCAGGTGAACTTGGGGTCTCCTCTCCTGTTGATGTGTGATGGGAGTAGACTCCTGATAGGGCCACACATGCAGGTGGGAGGACAATTCAGAGATTCAGTGAGACCCACCAGAGAACTGATTACGGACATTGACCGTGAGGTCCTGTCAGGGGAGGGGCGACTGAAAGGGCAGGTGACCCGGGGGAGAAGGGCAATGGACTGGAGATTTGGGAGATAAAAAACAAGTACTAAAGGAAGTTTTCAGGTCGGAAGGGAGAGAATAATCTAGAACAATGTTTAAGGAAAAGGAATCAGAACTAGAGAATTGGGAGAAAGTGAAGTGTGGGCTGGGAGCAAAGGCTAGAGGAGCACCCAGAGGCTTTGCTACAACTAATGACATTGGGATAAAGCCCAGTGATACCACATGAGCTCTGACTGGCCTCACACAAGGGCTAAGCTGGTTCCTCATGTCCCCTTCCAGTACCCTCAGTGACATCTCTGTCTTGAAGCTGAAAGTGGACAAATGCTCCCGACAGGACACCGTCTTTATGAAGAAGGTTAGCAAACGTGACCTCAAGATACAGTGAACCCTGGGCGGGCCAGGCCTTCTGAACTCTGACCTTCCAGCCCCCAAGTCACTACTGACCACTGCGTCCCTAGCCTGCCTCCTCCCTCTTTGACTGTGCTTAGTCAGGATGAGTCGCCGACTCCTCTGGGGGTTCATACTCATCACCAAGGCCAGAGTGAGGACCACGGCCAGTGACTGTGGGCTGCTCCTAAAACTGGATTTGGGCAGCAGCTTTTGCTGCTGGTTAGACTGGACTCGGCCTTTCCTAAACGTGCACTCCTGCCCGTGTTCACGTCCACTGGGGTCTGCTTTAAAGGCATCCTCTCCCTGAGGGTAGGGGTGGGGTACACACAGCTGTCCCGCCCCCTTCAGATTGCTCTTTCTATTCTCCTTGCCCCTCCTGTTCCCACCCTGCCCACTGTGGCCTCCCCCCACCCTTATCCCCATTTCCAGCACTCCCAGCAGCTCTACAGACACATCTACCTGAGCTGCAAGGAGGAAACGAACGTACAGAAGCACTACGAGGCACTCTATAGCCTGCTGGTGCTTGTCAGCATCGAGCTGGCCAACGAGGAAGTGCTGGTCGACCTCATCCGCCTGGCGCTGGCTGTTCAGGTGGGGCCTGGTGTGGGCAGGACACGGGTTAGGATTGGGTGAGAGGACCTGTTTTGGCCAAGCACTAATGAGAGTGCTGAGTAGCAACTGCTTCACAGTTGTTTTGGAGCCTAGGACTTTTGCACCCTTGGTTGACCATTCCTCCATGAAGACCACAAACCATGGCCCTATAAGGGAAACCACCCAAGAATGCTTAATTCGTGGCTGTGGCCTATTCTCAGGCCAAAGGAGACCTGGGGAACAGGGTCATTCAAAAATACTCCTCAGCCCCTAGTATTTTAAGTCTCTCAAAAGGTCTGAATAGGACTCCAAGGATTGCCAATAGGTTGCTCATAAGCCCTGACGGATCCCAAAACAAGTTGTCTGCTTCGCAAACCTGGCTGTGCTTCAAAATCACCTTAAGCATTTATTTAAAAAATATATTCCCAGTTCTGTCCCTGAGCCTGGAGCAGGAGGTGGGGGGTGGGCTGTAGATTCAACAAGCCTCCCTTGTGACTCTTAGGTAGCCAGAGTGGCCCTACAGAGGGCTCTAGATTTTCAAGGTCTGCCCAGATGGAAGTGTACTCCCAAAGATGCTAGCCATTGGGGCTCATCCTTCAGACCTCAAAGGCAAGGGTCTCCAGGGTCATGAAGCCAGGTGAGCATCATATCGTGACTTGTGGCAAGCCTGGAAAGTCAGTAATGGAGAGCCTTGGGCCATCTCCTTGGTGGGTGCTCAATCCTGCAAGGCCAACCCAGGTACAAGAATACCTTGGTTTTCGAGTATAATTTGTTCTGGAAACAAACTACTCGTATTGCAAGACATCGCTTGTTTACCACGCTAAAATGTATTAGAAATGTTTGCTCGTCTTGCTGAACTCTTGCAAACCATGTTACTCGCAATCCAAGGTTTTACTGTACTATGATTGTCTTCATTCTAGAATTTAAGATTACTTTGTATCCGAATCCCCTAGTAACTCCCACAACTTTCTCAATTTAACATGTGAACCCAACTTACCAGGCCAATCCAGCCCTCCAAGAATCATCCAAGGTCTGTAGTGAAGGAAACCTCATCCTGGAGGTGGGCTTCATGATGAGGGCTTGAACCATCAGAGTCGCTAAAGCTGGAACTGTAAAGCGGGGGCTTGAGGGCTTGAGGTCCTCACCTCTCTGCTCAAGAATGTATGCGCCTCTAGCTCATGGATTGTTCTAGGGGCCACTCACTTCAGCTTTAATAAGGATGATGTCTGTCTTTCAGGAAATTATGGGGCAAATGCTGAAAAAGGCTTAGTCTAAAGCAGGGGGCCATCTCTAAAGGAGGCTAGGGAGAGGTTGGGTGGGGGTGGGGCACCCATATAGCTTGTCAACTAAAAGTTCCAGAGGCCCCTCTGTGTTGCCACAGGACTTGGCCCAGGTCAATGAAGAGAGCTTGCCTGTCTATAACCGCTGTGCTCTCTATGCACTGGGTGCAGCCTACCTGAACCTAATCAGCCAGCTCACGACGGTGCCTGCCTTCTGCCAGCACATCCATGAGGTTGGTGTCCTCACGACTTTGAGATGTTCTCATGACCCTGAGAGCTCAGGAAGCCCTCAACTTGGAGTTTCCCCAGAGCTTTTCCTTAATTGCATAGTGTCCTGTTCTTAGTCTAGGCGTTAAAGAAAGGGGTGACGGAAGAACTAATAATAGTGAGAAGTTACGAGAGGCAGCATTTCCTCCTGTGTGACGTGATGTAACAGGGTGGGTCAGGCACAAGCAGCATCCTATAAGCCTTCCTCACCTGCTACCTGCCCCTCTCTATTTCCCACCTCTCTATGCTACCCCCCTTCCAGGAGTGTGTACACACACGCACACTCTTCATGTCATGTGGGACTAAAGATACTTTAAAGTTTCAGTAATGAAAGTTTTTAAATAGCACAAAAGCAGTGTGAGTAGGACAGTGAGCATCTGTATAGCTATCATGCAGATTCAACAGTTATAAAGATTTTCCCATATTTGCTTCATCTATTTCCTTTTTCTTTGCTGAAATATTTTAAAACAGATCTCAGCTGTCATGTCGTTTCACCCCTACATATAGCAGTATGCATGTCTAAAAAATATGGACGCCTTCCGATATGATTGCCATGCTATTAACTACCTAATTAAATGATCAATACCTTGGTATTATCTAATACCCAGTCTATAATCCAGTGTTCTCAGGACTGTGCTATATCAATGTGCCAGAGCCACCTCCCTTTTTCACGTGTAAAGAGAAAACAGGACGAGGTCACGGGAGCAAGGCAGTGCAGTCTCTTGGGAGCTAAGTCCCCTACATTTGGAGGACACTTAATGCAGATGTGTCATTGGGGATAGCTTGAGCAGACCACCTGGGCTTCTCAGTCACTGTTGATTTGAGCTTCTCCCTCAGAAGCCCAGCTGCCGGGGGCTCGGCCAAGGAGTTTGTGGGAGGCAGGAAACACAGAGGGGTGGGAGCTCATACATTTGCCTGTTCGGGGGTCACTCTCACTGTTGATCCCAGCTCTTAACATGTGGTTCTTCCCAAACTCCAGGTGATAGAAACCAGGAAGAAAGAGGCCCCATACATGCTCCCTGAGGACGTGTTTGTGGAGAGGCCCAGGTGAGGAGCATACCTGTGACATGGTCTGAGGTACCCAAGGCAGCTAAGAAGGTGGGCGGTCTGAGGCTAGGGGCTTAGGCTTCTATGGGCTCTAGGAACAAGAGTGGACCCGACCTGTGGCCCACAAGTGCTGGGTTAACTTTGACTCCTGTCCCTTGACCGTAATCCACACCTTGAACCACCTTGGTGTGTTGCACTGTACAGTATATGATGCCACCTCTGGGAGCTTTGGCTACGCCCATGGCAAATGCATCCTGGAGGTGTTGTTCCTGACGAGACACCGCCATCATCAAAGTGGCATTTTCAGACTGTAGTCTGTGGGCCAGTATCACTTCAACCTCAGAGGAACTCACAGAAAAGATTCTGAAGAAACAAAATATCTAACCATAGGGGATGGCTTTACAAATTATGGCCCAGCCACACAACAGACAACTGGTAGCCCATCCACAAGGGTTGGAAAGAATAGTTACTGTGAACTACTCACTATGTAATATGTGTATTCAATATATCCTAGAACAGACATGTAGGGGTAGGGTGATGTCTGTGTGTGTGCATAAATGTGTGTGACTGACTCTGCACGCGATATAAATGTGGCGATGCCTGGGAAGTGGCACGGTGGGGGATTCTTTCTCCTTTAGCTTCTCTGTTGTTTTGTATATGAACATTACTTTTATAATAAGGAAAGTTGTTAGGAAATCATCCATGGTTCTCACTTGCCTCTTCCCTCCTTTGTCTTCCAGGCTGTCTCAGAATCTTGATGAAGTAGTGATTGAGTTCCTCTTCCGCCAGAGCAAAATCAGTGAAGTCCTGGGGGGCAGTGGCTACAATGCAGACAGGCTCTGCCTGCCCTACATCCCTCAGCTGACAGGTATGAGCTTTGCTCACGGGTTCCAAGTCTACTTCTGGCTTTTCTCAGCCAGGTAAGGGCCTGAGTGTAAGGGACTCTGGTCGCCTTCCATGGCACCTTGGATGTCACACAAGAGCTGAAAGACACAGTGGAAGTCTATGGTGAGATCCTATGGGTTTCCCCAGTTCTCCTCAGTTCAGGATCCTTGGGAGTAACTGGCCCATGAGATGGGCTACAGAGTCAGAGACCCTGTTCTCTGTACCCTACTTCCTGAAAAATCTTAGACAAGTCCCTTGGCATTTCTGACTCTCAGTTTCCTTGACTGTAGAGTAGGGCTATTAACAGTGCCTGTCGTAGAGGCTGATGGGAGAGGGACATGAAATAATGAAGGCAAATGCACGTAGCAAATGCTACACAATTGACAGCCACTGGTACTCTGAGCAGATGACACACAAGTTGAAATATGCTTTCTGGTCGCAAGCATCTTCTTTATGCTCATCAGTGATTTTAAAATCTTAACCCTAAAGAGCATAACTCACCACCTTAAAGTGGGCCAAGAAAACCCCGCAGCCTTCCAGAAACTCCAGCTGTAGCCTTCGTGTGCACTGGGCCCTCGGAGGACTATGGACCACGCAGAGGTGCAGGGCTTGGGAGGTAGTGCTGGGGTATGACCCTGGCGCACCCCCGAGGGCTGGGAACTCTAGCTGCTGGCCCCTTCTTTCCTAGATGAGGATCGCTTATCCAAGAGGAAGAGCGTTGGAGAAACCATTTCCCTGCAGGTGGAGGTGGAATCCAGGAACAGCCCGGAGAAGGAGGAGGTGAGGGTCCTCTTCCTGGTGCACCGTCCTGGTGAAGCCCAGTGTCCCCAGAGGAGGGGACCCACTGCTGCCTCCTATGCAGCCAGACACTCCACGCGCCAGGCCCCGTTCACTGAACATCTCATTTACGCTTGCACGGAAAGTCAATTTCCCAAGGAAGTTCTGTTTTCTTACTGACTCTCATCATCCATATCATAGACATTTCCATCTGGAAAAATTATTTGTATCCATCTCCCCCGCAACACACACGCCCATGAGGGTGTCATAAATATCGCTCCTGAGAGACTTGCTGGCTGTCCTTCCCCGTTCACGATGGAGGCAGATGTGCTTCATGTTGGAAATTAGAAGGCCCAACAGGAGAGATGAGAGTGAGAATAGCTTCTGTGGTGTTTCTTCCAGATATACCCGTAAAGGTGCTTTTCTAAAGAGAAAGCTGCAGCCCAAAGATCTCTCTCTTTCATCTTCTCTTGTGATAACATGTGATACCTCCCCTGCCATTACTTCCTCTACCTCAGAAAGTAAAGCAGATGTACCCACGAGTAAGGGGAAACAAGGAATCATAGTGGAAATACCAAATTTACTCCCTCAAATGCGAAAGAAATGGGGGAGGGGTGGAGAGGAGGACGGAAGGAGTACTGAGGGAGTTGAAGCCACAAGATGCAGTGCACTTGTTTTTAATAGTGACTCTTCCGATTAAGGGAATTGACAGACATGTGGCAGAAACCTCAGCAAGGAGTGAGAAGGATGCTCACCTGGGTGGGACTTTGGACAAGATCTGTGGGGTCCTTGGGCGGGGACATTTTTTGCCCATTAGGGCTGGTCTGGCTGTGGAGGACAGCCTAGACACTGAGCCTTTCCCCAGATGTGATTGGAGCAAGGAGAGGTCATTGGGGTCGAGATCAGGCCTCCCTGTAACCATGCCCTCAACCACTCTAACATTTATTGGGGCAGACCTCCAGTGTAGGACTTTTCAGAGCGTATCTGGAACCTTCCCACGGAAGGAAGGAGGCTGTGACTCAGGCTAATTGGAGAAGTGAAATGAGGTTGAACCAGGTGTCCTCCAGGCCCTTCCAGCTTTGCAGAGACTGGGAACCTCAAAAGTGTTAGGACTGCAGCATGACTTGCCTGGTGTTCCCCCGCCCCCACCCCACAGTGGGATTCTCTCTCCCCAGTATGGGTTCCTTCCTGCTTCAGGTGTCAGCTCAGCCCAGGGATGGCATGGCAGCTAAAGCAGGGGTGTGGGGGCCTCCACCCTGCTGCTATGCTACATTTCTTTCCACTTTCAACTCACCGTGCCCAACCGTCCCCCCTCCAGAATCCTGTGGTGGCTTCCTGTAGCCTTAAATGACAGACTCACAGGGAGTGAGAGGTTGATAAATGCTGGTTTGGTCAAATTCCAAACCCAGCGTCTGGCATTCAGAGCCATTTGTAGTGTGGGCTGGCCCTACTATTTCATTTGATTTCTCCCTCCTCTTTGGCACACATCCACAGTCCTACTCTGACTAGTCGGCTTCAGTCCCCCATGCGACCTCATTCTGTGACTTTGCTAACGTGGAATCCCACATCTGAATCACCCGTCCTCTCCACCTCTGCTCCTGTGAATCACCTGTTCCTTAATGCCCAGCTAGTGTTGCATTTCCTCCATAAACCTCTCTCCATCCGACCTTGCCCCGTGACCTTCCTCTTCTCTGTTGTGACCACACGGTTCCCCAGCGCCTCCCATGTGAATACCTGATGTTGGTCAGTGCGGACAGTAGGTGATGGATGGATGTACAGAGGATGACCCCTCAGAGTGAATAATAGCTCAGTGCAGCTCTCTCTTGCCTATAATTCCTATGCTAACACATTTTTCCATTTCTACTGAGTGACTAGCCAAGAGTCCAGCACATAGTCGATGCTCACGTAATATTTGTTGAATGACTTTACTCCATACCTACATCTCTGTCCTTTCCCACTCAAACAAGCATTTACTGAATGCCAAACAAATCAAAAAGTGTACAGCTTAATGAATTTGCACAAAAGGAACGTACCCATGCAGTCACATCCATGTTCAGGGAATGGAACCAGTGTCGTTGCCCAAGACTGTCACCTCTGCAGCCCCGGGAGCCACTAGCCTGACTTATGTCACTTCTTGAACTTTTTATCAGTTGACGTCATTTACTCCCACATCTGTTTTTTTCACTTAATATTATCTTTAAGTGATAGAATATAAGTAAATTGTGGGTCTTGCCTTAAGGAGCTCATAGTCTAGTGGGGGAATTCCTGGAATTTAGTCCAAACTCCGTCACTATTTTCAGCATCTGACTTTCAGCATCAGGCCACACATCCATGGAGCACCTTTCTTTGGGTTTTATTATTTTTCACCTCCTTTTATAGGCTCTGCAGAGGACTGAGATCCTGTGACCCAGGTCCTTGGACCAACCTCAAACTCTCTCACCTTTATTTAACTCTCAGGTCACCTTGGTGGATAAGTTAATACCATAAGTCTTCAAACATATTATTATTCAATTCTTGGAATCTACATTTGAGATTATATTTGCTGACTGCCCCCTCTTGCTTCCACTATTTTCTGTTGGGGTCTCTGAAGACTTTTTTGAATTACACAGTTTTCTTCCCACTGGGCTTAATGGGACAAGTTAGGGGAGGGGACAATGAGTTCTTTTAGGTGAGACTCTAAGGAATTAGCCTGCCCACTTCCACCTCACTGTTCTTGGGGAGCTTCCGGAGATCCTACTGAGAAGGTGGGTGTCCTGGGGGAGTTTCTGCCCATCAGACATTCTTCTGAGAAGTAAAGGGGCTGCCAGTTAACAGGATGTGAAGGCTGCCTCCCCCCTCTGTTCCCTCCCCCGTTTCAGCTTTCTAAATACCTCTGTCCCCTCTCCCTCAGCGCGTGCCTGCCGAGGAGATCACCTATGAGACTCTGAAGAAGGCCATTGGTAAGTGGGGGCAAGGGACTCTGATTAGAGGGGAGGGCACGGCTGGGTCCTGGGAGGCCAGTGGGTACGTGCAGCCTCACCTGCTGCCCCTCTGGAGGGTGATTTAGCACAGGTATGAGGGCAGGGGCTGCTGGCTTCCTCGATCTAAACTCATCACAACTACCAAAGCTGCAAGTAAAAGCCCTGCTCTCCTGGTGGGACTCCGTAGTGTTGCCTCATGTATCCTAGGTCAGGTAACCCTTTTTCTACTGACAGCTGCCTTTAAAAGTAATCCACTGAGGGGTACAGCCAGTCAGGTAAAAAGCAATTTTGTATAAATACTTTGACTATTTTTTGGTAGAATGTGATACAAAAGAACAAGTTGACCAATGAAAGATATTAAGAACAAATCATATTAATATTTACTTAATAATGGCAATAGATGTTAATATGCAGTATTACCTCTTCTGTCTGAATTATTGGGCAGTGAAGTATTCTGAATGAGAGAACTTTTCTGATAACTCATGAAAAATTATGCCTTCAAATGCCAGACATTTTTTATTTTTGTTGTCATTGATGGTACTCTTTCTGAGTGTACACACTCCTCGCCTTCTTAAACGGAGTGTGGTGGACATATTTGAGACCCCTCCCCTTTTTTTCTAACTCATTGTGGATACCAAGAGAAATATGTAGAAGCCTAAATGGCCTTAGACTGCTCTGCCTTAGAAGTTCCGTGTTGGCTTTTGTGCTGTCTGGCTTTTCTATTGTTGATGTCCCTTTTCAAATTACCCCCAGAGTACTCCCTGTGGCAGTGTAGCTACTCGAGGCTTTAAAAGCCCAGCTTAAGGGACCACTTAACTACTTCTCAAACCCTTACATAAGGAAGGGGTCTGAGCCCTCAGGCAAAATCAAGAAGAGGTCTAGCCCTCCTGGGACTAAGTGATGGCACCACACCCTCCATGCCACCGCTTCCTACTCAGCAGCACAGGAGAGAGCCTGAGCTTCAGTCACAGGTGGAGCTCCCTGGAGGAGCCCACCCAGCTGCCCGTCTTCTCCACCCCTGTCCCACACGAGTGGGGCAGGACCTAAGGGCTGACCTGACTCTCTGTGCTGCAGTGGACAGTGTGGCCGTCGAGGAGCAGGAGCGTGAACGGCGGCGGCAAGTGGTGGAAAAGTTCCAGAAGGCGCCCTTCGAGGAGATTGCAGCACACTGCGGGGCCCGGGTAAGTGACGCATTACAGGGGTGAGTCTTCGGGGACCAAAAGGACACTGGATTTGGGTCCAGGGCAGGACTGAGTTTCTAGGATACCCTGGCACTTTGGTCACCCAGAAATTAGGGTTTAGATACCCGCAGTGACCTGGCACCTACATTGTTTCCCCATGAACCAGAAGACTTGGTTATTAGTCATACACTCCTCCAGACCTCACAATTCTCATACAAGGAAGAAGTCCTGACCTCAGAAGCTCCTGTATCAAACAGATTATAATAATTATAATCTTAATAGCAAGTATGTAAATAGCACTTACTATGCACCAGAGCGTCTTACATTTATTAGTTTATTTCATTCTCATGACAACGCGGCAAGGTTGGTGCCATTATGCAGTGATGGGGGAAGGGGCCGCGGCAAAGGAAAGATAGCCAGTGTTTACAACAGGGCCCACTTCTAGGCAAGAAGAATGGAACAGCCAGCCTTGGAAGAGATATTTGAAAGAGAGGGTGGGGTGCCAGACACGTAGAAAGAAGGACTCACGTCAATACTTAAGGAGGAGCACAAGCATTTCTTGAAATTCATTTTATATGCCAGGATTTGTGAGTCACAGTGTTCATCTTAGAATTTGCAAATAACTTATATTTTATTGTTCTCTTCCCTCTCAATAAAAATACATGTACTTTTCTATTATATTATATATATAATATATAGTTCATGTATGTATAATATAGATTGGGGGTGGGGGCTATAGTATCCTAGCCTCTTGTCCCATCGCATGAGGTAGGTGCTGCTCATTTCATGAGCTCGGAGTTGAGACCCAGTTACTGAACACAAGTACAACTCACTCTCTGTGTATGTGGACTCCGTTGGAGCCAGAAGGGACCAAAGAGAGCATCTTCCCTAACCCCCAATTTTGCACAGCTGCTTCTTGGGAGTTAAGGAAAAAGCTGGAACTAACTGTGAGCCTCCTGATGCCACGCCCAGCAGGCCCTACTGCCCCACTTGCAGGGGCTAAGGGCCCATAAAGAGCTGCCCCCTGAAGTCCTGGTGTTCCTGACCTCTGTGCTGCCCCCAGCTGGCCTTCACTGGGCGGCTGTGTCTGGCCTGAACCCACAGCGAGGGCCCACAGACGACTTCTGTTCTCTTCCTGAGGGGGCACCTCCTGCACCTTCAGAGCATGCTCTGGACAAGTGGGCTCGTGACAGCTTGCGGAGGTGCAGGGAGCCCCAGCCCACTCTCCCTCTGTTTGTGTCTAGGCATCACTGCTGCAGAGCAAACTCAATCAGATCTTTGAAATCACCATCCGGTAAGTGGCAGACCTGGCCAGGGGACTCCTACCTCTGTGGCAGCATTGGGCCCCTTCCTCCCATCTTCCTCTTTCACCTGTCTTCAGCCCCCGTCCCTCCAACCTGTCTCAGGGTGGAGGTCAACAACTCTCTCCCCAGAAAAGGAAATCAAGACTAGACAGGGAAAGAGACAGATCAGTGAACCCTGGAAAAAAAACCAGGAGTCCTAGTGTCCCAGGCGGCTAAGACTTTATTTTCTAAAGCGCTATAGAGCCTGCCATGAAGCTGTAGATTCTAGAACAACTTTAAACCTGGGAACCCGTGGAGTGACAAAAGCTCTGGTCCCTGTTCAAAGAGAAACACGAATCAGCTGCTCTATTTGGTTGCATGGGGTGGGACCCCAGAACCCTCTCCCCATCCCTTTCTCTTCCATGTGTTCCTGCCCCAGGCCCCCGCCAAGCCCATCAGGAACCATCACTGCAGCCTATGGCCAGCCTCAGAACCACTCAATCCCTGTCTATGAGATGAAGTTTCCGGATCTGTGTGTCTACTGAATTGCAAGAGATGGAGCTCCTTGGAGGGGTGGGGTCTGAGGGATAGGCTCGCCCTCACTCCCACCTCTACTACGTGGAACTCTAACTGGGGTCTCAGAAAAGGTCACCATGGATGGAAGCATCTCCCCAGCTAAGCAAGATGGAACCCCGGGTCCTTCCGCTTCCCTCTTGTCTTCCCTGAGGGGATCGGCCACCTGCTCCTCTGGGACCAATAAGCCTCTAAACTGCACCCTTTGTCTCCTCCTTTGTGTCAGCCAGGGGCCGAGAAGAGTGGGGGGTCTTCAGAGAAAGGCTGAGTTCCTGAGAAGCTCCTGCTTGGTGTAGCAAGCGAAAGACTTCCATGGGGGTGGGACTAGGAAGGCACAGCTGCCATTCCCCCAGGAGAGAACTAGTTGGAGACACAGTTGGTCAAAGGAAGCCGTGGACTGCAATAGGGAGGAAGCAGTGGCTGTGAGAGCTGGGAGATGGGGCGGCTGCTCTCCTCTAGATCACCGTCTCCCTCTGGTCCCCAAGCCCTCATGTCTCCGGTGTCTCTTCCACTCTCCTGCTGACCCTGCCAGTTGTCTCTTTATGGTTCTTAATATTATTAATTGGTGTTGAGCCTTTATAACAGGAGGTGAGGTAGAGACACCACAGGGGCAGCAAAGGATGAAGTGAAGGGTAGGCAGCTGCTGAGGGAGGGGCTGGCTCTCCCCAGGTCAGGCCTGCCTCCTGCAGAGGAGCGGCAGGCGGAAGTGGGCAAGTCCAGGGCCTTCCGGAGCATCTTCTCACCTCCTTTGGTCACAGGGAGCTTGTTTGGCCCTCCCATGTTTCTCTCTCTTCTGGATGTTTCTCTGAGTTGAGCTCTCTCCTTGATGCCTGAGGATCTCAACGCGTTTTTACAGCCTCTGGGTTGAAGGAGGGCAGAACAAGATAATCTGGTTCTAGATGACCCAGATGGAGGAGGAACTGCAGGGGCCCCAGGCCTGCCCACATCGCCTCCTGGCCTGGCTGGGTTGGAGGGGGGTGCTGGGAAGGGATGGTAGTCGGGGGAGGAGAACCTTGGGACTCAAGGATGTCAGAAGTCAACCTTTTGGATGTTTCATTTGAGGAAAGAAGGATCCAGCACCTGATAATGAAATGACTTCTTCACTCTTTGGACAAAGTCTGGACATAAGTGCCAACTGGAAAAGCTTAAGGCCTGGGGAGAGCGGTGGAGGCCTCTTTGGGTTCTGCATGTCCCGAGTCCTGTCTGCCTGCGTGTAGAGGAGGATCCAGGAGGCCGTTTGCTGCGCGCTCCACTTCCCCTGTCTCACCTCCTGGGGCCTTTGTGCCTCCAGAGCATCCCTGACAGACCCTTACCTGAGTCTTCTCCTGGGACAGTGCCCTATGGCCCCCAGTCACTTCCCTTCTCTTCCAGTGAAACTTCTGAGCTGATAGAGCTCACAGTAAGCTGTAAATGCCAAATGATGCTTTCCTAGAGAATTTGCTTTTTAAAAAGAGGGAGGGTAAGTAGATTTCTTGATCCAAAGGAATCCCTTTTAGGGCACAGTTTTAGGCAGTGTGGGGTGATGTCAGGGCAGGCTGTTTCTGCTAAGGGGATGGCAGACTTTTGGGGACACCTTGGGTCACACCCCTACATGACCCTGCCCAGGTGCACAGTGAGGACAGATAGGTGTATTTTCCCAAACCAGGAGAACCTTCATATATGCATTTCCCTTTACATGTGCAACGATTTCTTGGGTAGGGGGCCGTCTGACCCTTGTCCCTGTAGTTTACCCCCTTGGTGGCTGCCTATGTGCTGCGGGCCTTGTAGCTTCTGGATGGCCTGCATGCTTCTAGGGCCTAGGGGCCCAACTCCCGCCCCTCCCCATGGAGTTTGGGTAATGCTCAACCCAACATTACAAACATGAACTGAGATTTCTCTTTACTTTAGTATCTCTTTATTAAGAAACCCAGTTTCAATGATTTGAAACAAACTTGAAGGCAGGTAACCTTGGGAAGAAATGTTACAGAAAATCTGAACCTTGAGCCACAAATATGTCTTTCCTCATAGGATCTATCCAATCTGTATCTCCTGCTCAGCTTCGATGAGAAACCCCATTTCTTTCTTGTGCCTCCTTGACTTTAGGGTTCAACCCCACAGCAACTGCTCCCTGAGCACTGCCCTCGGGGCCCTGGTTCTGGGACGTGGGGGTGGTGGCCTTGGAGCCTCTTTCTAGAGCCAGCACTAGAATCAGAGACCTGTAGGTCCACTAAGACATCTCTCGCTCATGCCCACGCTGGGAACAGAGCGAGGAAAAAGGTACAGAATCCCATCGTTCATGCACTCAGCTGCTCTTTCCTCCGTATCTGTCTGAAGCAGCTTTTTCTTTACATCACAGCTACATAGCAAAGACGTGTTCATTTTGGAGAACTGGCCTTGTTTTTTTTTTGAGTGCCCTCTTCTCAGTTTCAATTTAAATGTATTTATACTCAGAATATTAGGTTGGCTGCTGACAGGAAGTAGAACCTGGATTCTGGCCAAATATGCCCCAGAATCAAAGTTTAAGGTAAGTGTTAACTCAAACATAATTCAATGTTAAACTAAGCAGTCTCCTTCACCCCCACCCCCTGCCCCACCAGGAGTCCTGGGAAGAGATACAAAGCAGAGTTTGGTGGGTGCCCAGGCCCTTGGCCTAGCATCACTGCTTCCTGCCTTCTGAGCCCCGTAGCATCTGACAGCACCGTCTTGTGACTGACCCTTTGTGCTACTCTTCTCTGTTGTGATTTTTAGCCAGCAAGCCCATCTAGGACAGCTGTTCCCAAAGCCCAGGACCCTTGCTTCATGGGCAAGGGGTAGGGTTGGCTAGCACTCTGCTGACAGAACTTAATAGATGTGAATGTATAATATTTAAGATTTGGAAATTGTTTAATTTTGTTGGGTCATGTTAGTGCTAAGGAGCAGGTCAGCAGGAAGCACCAGTGTAAGGCTCCTCCTGTTTTCTTTGTAATGGGGTTTTCAGTGCCGTGTGCCTGTTCCCATTTTCCTCTCTGAAAAGTAGAAATAAGTGGTTTCTTGACTCCTAAATGCCTCCTCACCAGAGAAGGAACCCAAGCCGGGCAGAAGAACTAGGAAAGTCCTCACTCTCAACTGGCTTAAGAATTAGAACGGTTGGGCCGGCTGAGTGGCTCAGTTGGTTAAGAGCTCGCTCAAGAGTGCAAGCTCTGAGCAACAGGATCACCAGTTCAATTCCCAGCCCAAGCTGAGCTAACAGGTGGCAGGATGGCTCAGCTAAAAAAAAAAAAAAAGAATTAGAATGGCCTTGGGATACCTTCGAATGGCTCCAAGGCCAGAACTCTGGGCTTCTCTGGGGGCTCCTGGTCACGATACAATGAATTAGGGCTCCCAGTTCCTAATTCATTGTCCCCAGGCCTTCTGACCTGGGTCCAGAGAGTTTCATTGAGAAGTGAGGCTATTTTTCCCAATTCCTCTTCCTGACCATAAAATGGCAGTTGGCCAGGTTGGGGGCTGTGGGAAAGGACTGGTCCTGAGCTGTTGGGTTGAGTATCCGTTTGAAGGTAGACAGGAAATTAGCTCATCTGGGCTGGCCACGCCTACTTCCCCTGACCCATAGACCCTGGCAGGCAACCGAGCTGAAACAAGGCATCTTCCTTACATCTGGGGAGACGATTTAGGGCAGTGTCTTCATCATCTCATTAACCCTAGAAACCTTCTGGTTAAATACCCCTTATCCCAAATCTGGCCATGTCTGAAGACTGCAGAAGGATGGTCGTCATGGGCCTGGTCAGCTGGGGAAGTGGGAAGAAGACACAGGGTCTGTGACTGGAGCGCTGTGGGCTGTTGGGGTCAGAAGGCAGTTTTCTATGCTCTCTTCTAGCACCAGCCACATAGACCAGGACTTTTCTCCTTCAGGGGACCTTGGGGCCTCATCACCTTCCCCTTTTGAGCTCTTGCTCCCTGGCACTTGATTCTGGCCTGTGGAGTACAGAGCTATAAATCCACAAATGCTGCAGACCATACATAATAACATGTCTGTATCCATTTAGACCTTCATGACCTGGCTGAGAGTGTGTGTGCATGTGTGTAATATAGTTCATAGTTGACAATATCTGTATATAATAGCTGACGTATTTATATGGGAGTGCAGATTTAGTGCCTGTGGAAGTTTTCTGTATTTTAAACTCATTGAGTCAAATTAGTTTTAAGGAAGGGGAAAGAGGCGTGTAGGAAGAAGGACTCTTAGCAAGATCATTCTTTAGGACTATTAGTTGTGATTTCCCAGTGAGTCTTTATGATGCCCTTTTCAAATAAATGTTAATGTTGTCACCACATGGTTGTCTATTTGAATTCTTTAACGTAAATGGTTTTTTGAGATGCAAACAGATTCTGAAAATACCAACATTAACCACTGACATTTAGCCACCCCCACCTGCCATTACTTCAGTTGCCTCAAAAGGAAGGACGTTAGGCGAAAGGATGCTACCAAGATGTAAACACAAGGCCCAGGATTCCCAGCATGGGAACATCCTCTGATGGGCCATTTCTTCATTATAGTGACTAGAATCTAGCCCCGTTTCATTAAACCCTTATTGGGGGAGACTTTATCTTAGTAATCTGGCTTTCTGGTTCCCTTTACATCAGGACTTCCCGGGGTGCATTCGAGTTTTCTTTCAATATGAACTCCTAGAGCATCAAAATATGGGGGTATATGTGTAAGTGCCGTACACAAATGTTTCCCAGCTGGCTTTGATCTGTAACACCCACTGGTATGTCTAATGCAGTGACATGTATGTGTGCATTTTCATATCTAAGTACCTGTGAGACTCTTGTGGATTGGAAATGTGTGTGGCTGCAAACCCGTGGCTCCAGCATTGTGAAAACATAATGGAGACATGTTAAAGAAACCCAACCCCTGGCCTCTGCCTTTGTGGAGCTCAAGGTTTCCCTGAGAGAACGTAAGACATACATGCAGCAAGCAAGTTGCCATCTGGGCCGGACTGCATGCCCTGCATTGTCGAGGAGCTGACTGCCCCTGAGAATGAGCAGGCGTGGTTGGAAGACATAACTTTCCCAGCAGAAGTGGACTTGAGACCCCTTGAAAAAGGGGTAACATTCAAAATGGCAGGGGAAGGTGGGGAATTGCAGGCAGAGGGTGAAGGAGGATGTGAAAAGAAGCGTGAGAAGATCAGTAGATGGAAACATGAGAAAGGGGTTTGGTAAGGGAAGTGAACTTCATTGACAAGGGCCCCGCACACCATGGCCTATAATTTGGAATTGATGGAAAACAGGTGGGGAAACTTGTTTGGCGAAAGCAAAACTTTGTATACATTAATATGAAGAATTTGAATCTTATGGGTTCGGGAGGAGAGCGACTGCGGACAAGGAGACCAACTAGTCGGTTAGGAAGCTGTTATTGATAGTGGAGGCCTGAGCCAAGAACACTGAGAATGAAGAGCTGAGGTTGGTAACTTGGGAAGGAGTGTGGACATAGCTGGGGGAGAGGAGAGACCTCAAGGCTTGAGCCTGCGGAACTGGAAGAAGCATCTGTGTATATTGTGTTGTATTTACAGAGATGTCTCCATGGGTGTGTGTCTATGTGGATGAGACCACGTGTTTGAGAATGTTTGTGAGTATCTGGGAGTGTAAGTTTGAATTGATACCAACCCTGACTTCTCACACTTAGCTTCTCAGTGATAAAACGAGGATCACATCCATTTTCTCATTAATCCGCACAATAGCCTTCAGACTAAGAAAGTAGGGGAAGATGAACTAAATCTTGGCACAGTTCAGCGACTTGCCTACGGGCACATAGCTAGCTAGATCCTGGGGGCATTACCACAGCGTCCCACCTTACAGCCCAGAGAGCCCTTGCAGCTGTGGTTGGACTTCATCAATGTCTGGCTGGCTCTTGGGAGTTGGACGGGGGCCAGGGTCACTCTTGGAGGAATCCTGCGTTTTGATGCAATTTCTAGCTGAGCCGTCTTTTCCTACCCAGCAGAGGGCTGGGAAATGTAACCACGCTGCACCATCACCAAAACTATTTGGCCCCTTGAAGGCCCATTTATTCGGAGGGAAAAGTGCCTTTTCTTTCGATTCCCACTCCATCCTATGACATATACTGCCACTTAGTTACACGGACACCATCACGCCTCTCCTCCACTATATGCTGTTCTTTATTTACTGGATATGTATTTTTATGTTCTTCACCCAGTCGACACTCAAAATCAGAGGCAGGTGTGAAACGTGAAAGGTTTTATTTCCTAACAACAGACAGCTGTTCACGGGCTGCCTCTCCGCCGCCCCCACCCCGAGCGAGCAGCACACCCAAGCCGGGAGGCGGCAGGCAGGCGAGGCGAGGGGGCTTGAGGGTCGACGTCCCCGGGGAGAGGAGACCCTGGTCCCTCACTGGCCCTTCTTGTGGGCGTTCCTGATGATGGCGTTTTTGAACAGCGTCACCAGGGGCGTCTGGCTCTTCTCGGAGGTCATGAAGCCCCCGTAGCGCTTGTCCTTGGGCGGGCTGCCCCAGCGGAAGTGCTCCATCTTATAGGGCCCCTCGTCCTTCGCCACCGCCTCGGCCTCCGACGCCGCGGCCAGGCGGTGCTCCCGGTCGGCGCGGGCCGCCGCGTCCTCGGGGCTGAGCGCCGGCTCGGGCCGCTCCCCGGCCAGTTCCCTCTTGAATTCCAGGGGGAAGGCCTCGGCCGACTCGTCCTCGGCGCCGTTGGGGTACACCTTCACCGGGCGCCGCTTCTTGCCCACCGGCTTGCCCCAGCGGAAGTGCTCCATGGAGTAGGAGCGCTTGCCCTCACGCAGGCCCGCCTCGGCGCCATCGCCGCGGAGCCCGGGGCCGCCGCCGCCGTCGCCCGGCGCCGCCGCCTCCTCCTCGCGCTTCTGGCCCGCGCCGCCGCCACTGCTGCCGTTTCGGCGGCCGAAGCGGTCCCAGCGGAAGTGGCCCATGACGTACTTCCGCGGGTTCTCGGTCAGCGGCTGCTCGTCGCCGTTGCCGGGGAACACGGGCGTCTCGGCCGAGAGGTCGGGCTTGCAGGCCCGGATGCAGGCCTGCGGGAGAGGCACAGTTGGAGGGCCGCCCGCCCCCTGCAGCCCCCACCCCGGCCTAGGAGCACCCCGAGCAGCGCCTGCGCCCCCCGCGCCTCCACCACTGGGGAGCCAGGAACTAGGCCCTCTGCTGCAGTGGCTTTCCTGCCGAGGACGTCTTTCCACCCTGTCTTCTTGGCAACCTATGGACATCTGAGACTGAGCTTGGGCATCGCCTCTTTTGTCCCCTGTACCCCTTGGTACATCTGCCTGGTAACTACAACAAACAGCCCATTCCCCTCGGTGATTTTCTTGCCCCGTGCCTTTTGCAAGTAGAGTCAGCATCTTACCGTTCTACGCCTTATATATAGGAATTAATCAATCGATGGCAGGTGGGTGTTAGTTGTTGGCACTTCATGAAAATTGAATAAATATGGTTCAATTCGAGTCTGAGTGGGACATTGGCTGAAACTTGGGGGAGGCTCTCCCCAGGTGGGAGAAGTAGAAATCTGCCTTCTAGGGCCTGTGTTTTCAATCATGCCTCAACCTTACCCCAGTGATCTTCAAGCCTACCTCATGCCCTAGCCCAGCCAGCTCCCAGGACCATGCTTCAGAACTTTCCCACACGCATCTGGCACTTTCTCTGGCACTTCCAAATTTTCTGAGCTGATCCTGTACTTGCCCCAATCAGTGAGCTTTGTGAGGGGGTGGTTCACTTCCCTGTCCCTCATTCTGACTGAAGGGAGGGGTGAAAACCCAGGATTATTTCTATTGCATGGGTCATGGAACCTGTGTGTCTGCCCCCGGTAACTAGACAACTTGACTGGTACACATTTGCTTTGGAAAATGACCTGTAGGCTGCATCCTTGAGTTTTCAGTTACTCAGGACTGCAGAGGAGGAAAACAGAAGGATCCCACCCACTCTGCTGAGCTGGGAATTTCATACTCCAAGGATTTAAAATTATAACACTGCAGAATATTAACAGAGGAAGATAAAAACTATCTTATACTCCTCTCCCCTGGACACATGAAACAGGAGGCTCAGAGAGGTAAAAGGACCTTGGCAAGGTTCCACAGATCACTGGTGACACTGGGACTAGGACCCATGGGCCATGGCCAGTGATCCTTTCCTGGTGAGCTCCCAACAGGAGAGGCTGTGCGGTAGGCGTCTCCAATCAAGAGTCTCTTGAGTCTCTCTGAAGTAGAACCCTCAGAATTCCCTGGGCTCTTTGTTTCTGTTTTATGTTCCACATGCAATCTGCTCTGTGTTTTTGAGAGTCTCTCTCTCTTACCTTAACTCAGCTTCTCCATTGACACAACACACAGAATGTAGTGAATTATTTCACCCTCACCAGGCAGGTACTGGTAGCAGGATGAAACTCAGTCACTGACACCAGCAGTGTGTCTTTTAGTCTTTGACTTGCTATCACTTCTCATCTGTGCCTCCCAAACACACACACACACACACACACACACACACACACACACACACCTGTGGTGACCTGGAGGGAGTTCCAGTCTGGCACAAAGGACCTTTACATGCTTCTGGAAAGGTTGCAGAAGGTCAGTCCTCCAGAAAAAGCATGAGACATTTTGCACCAGTTAAGAGGAAGATGGCACCTGAGTTTTCCTTCTCCCTCTAGAGATGATTTGTGGTACTACCTAGCTGGCTTTGTAACTGGTGGTAGATAGAAAGGGAAGAAAAATGGGATGAAAAGGGCAAATGATATGAGGTTGTTTTTAAAGGAATAATGTGGGAACTAAAGGATTGAAAATGTAGGTTCCACTGAGAAGCAATTATTGTTATTACTATTATTAGTATTAGTGTTATTTTAATGGCAGTATCTCTAAATAGCTTAAATGGAATGGGGTCTCCATACAAAAAGACAGGAAGTAAAGATAATCAAGCAAAAATTGTAGACCAGACCCATCTCCCTGAAGTTGCTTCCTCCCCTCCTTGGCCTAATGCTGACTTCACCCTAGGGGTCTGTTTCTGCTCTGGGTTGAGTTGCCCATATCTCTGGGAATGAATTTCCCCTTCCCCATACTCGTTTGTTGTGCACTGTCCCAGCCTCAGCCCCAGTTCCATCTGATGCCCAGACCAAGATGACAGCCACGGCCCACGTACCAGCAGGTTACTTTCCGTGGTGAGGTCCTGACACTGGCTGCTCTCCAGGCACCAGCCACGCACTTCCATGGAGGCCTGAAGCAGCAAGGCCAGCAGCAGGGCTGCCGATCGACCGCCGCACGATCTCCTCATCTTCCAGGCAGGCTGCGGCTCTGCAGAGGCAAACAAGATTGGTGGGACCCCTGCAAGGAGCAGAACAATGTTGGCCACTCACCAGGAAGGACGGGGAGCCAACATAAACAACACAGTCGCTTGCGGAGTGCAAGGCTTTTTGAGGACAGGAGCAGTCCAAGGAGAAGTTTGGTGTGCAGGGTGGTGGTATATGTTGTGGTAGAGAGGAGGGAAGTAGGACCCAGGCAAATCATGTGCAATTTCTCCTTTATCGCCTGCTAAAAATCAGACCTTAAAGGAAGTTAGGGCCAGAAGCTATTTGGGAGGTCATTAGGTCCAGCCTCCATTTGAGAGATGGGGAAGCTGAGGCCCAGAGAGAGACAATAACTTAGGTGTTCATTATGAGGTAAGGCTAAGTTCTGCTGTTTCCAGCACAGAACTTTCCTAGTTCATCACCTTCGTGAAGCTATGGTTCTGACATTCCAGATCCAAAGAGAAACTTGGGAAAGACAAGGACTCCGAAACTCCTGCTCAGGATAGTCTTACCCCTCCTCCGCACCAGTATCCTATCACTCCTCAGAAACTCGATTTCCTATGAATAGTTGGTTAGCATAAATGCAGATAAAACCTCTGGCCAATTTAGCCAACCCGATTTGTACACAAATCACTCAGGTGGTCACTATTCCCAGACCCCTGCAACCTCGGAGAGACTTATTTTTAAAGCAGACCCCATTCTTTTAAAACTGACTCATCTTCTGAATGCATTACGTGTCAGATCACTTGTTCTCTGAGTTTCTCAGATGTAGCCTGAAACAGTTGGACTAAAGATGCTGTTGGTGTCGAAAGGAAGGAGATGGACACACGGTGCAGAAAGGGATGACCTCCCATGTCAGGGAGAACCTCTGGGCAGATGCTGAGTTCAAGAGGTCAGGATGCAGTGAAAAGGGGAGCACCAATGCTTCCTGATGCTTCCTTTTGTCCCCTGTCCCCAACCTTTTCACCAGCCCTCTAGCTGTCATGCTGCCATGTGACCCCTCACCCAGGCCAGTCCCCTGAAGTGACCCCGAGATCTCACCACCAACCCCGCAATCATTTTGGATTTCAGAAGATTTTCTCAACCAGCTGTTAGGGAGAAACCTAATTAGATGAGAAAAGTAATGCACATTAAGGTGAGGATGACTAATTGTTCATGTCTCCTAATGGACATTTGCATTTTAAAATAATTTTGCCTGAAAGAAATCTCTCATTTGTGGAGATGTGGGCCAAATTTATTTTATAGGGAAAGCTTTGGAAGTGAAAGTTCTCTCTGGCTTTCATTGTCTACTTCAGGAAGCCACTTCCTTCTCTCTGCCCCACCCCCACTCCTTTCCCCTAAAGCTGAGCCAGCTCAGGGCTCCCTTCTGAATGGTGGCCAGGAGCCGTCTGAGTGTTTTCAGAGCAGCCATTAGATGGCGTTGGCAGCCAGTGAGCTGGCCCATCCACATCTCAGGCTGAAGGGGCAACTGGGAGAGCCTTGGTCAACCTTGATGTCCAGTCCTGACCAGGGACAAGATGCTCCTGTTGTAGCCTTTTAATTCTCCAGTTCAAATATGAAGCCTGAACTTGGTGGACAAGGCAATTTATACTAAAGCTCTGAGACCACACAGTACATTTGAGTCAGAAAAATGCCTAGTACAAGAGAAACAGGAAAACGATAGTTATATATCACTGTGGGCAAGTGTAAAATAATGCATTAGTAGAGAAAGAAGTAAAATATTATAGGTCTGATGGTCGCCACAACTGTATTTCAATTCTCCTCAAAATTGCCATTCTGAAACGATTTCCAGTTTCTAAAAACCTACCTCATGATTTAAAGCCTTCCTGAAAAGCCCCAGAGAGCATTTCCTTACCTTATGCCCCACTAGCTATGTTGTACACATGGTAATTTTATCACTCCCCCCCTCTCAGAGCTCCATTCTACTGCCAAAAAGTTAGATTGCTTCCTGAAAGCAACTTGTTTTCTTTTTGCTTATGTGTAGTCTCTATTTTTTTACACTGAATAAATATTGTCTTGTGCCATTTTTAAAAAACAATATAGTAATAGGGATATGTCAAATATTGTGCTTTTTGTAAGTAGGGAGAGGGTTATAATCCAATCGTTGAAAGTCTTGGAAAAATAAATAGAAATCTGTACTTTGTTAATCTTAACGCTAGCTTTATAATAGAACTACACTTATTAGAACTTCATATGTGTAGGTGAATTCTCTGTGAGCTAAACAAAATGTGTTGTGTGTTACTCTAAAATTGCACAGAGGCAGAGCAGAGGTGCAGAATTTTGTCCTTTCAGCATGATACACAATGCATCAAGTCCTAAAACAAAAGTGTGGAAGGATTAAGTCATTAAATAAGCCATAATCTGGACATATGTTAACAATTGACAAAACAAACGCACACTTTTACTTTCCTTGACTCCTTCCAGTCAATCTGTGAGAACCACCACCTCCCCCATTTATACACGAAGAATTTGGGGGATCCAAATGCCTTGAAGACCTCCTCTCCTTCACTGGAAATCCCCCTTGCCTGAGCCTCCACCAGCTCAAATGGCTGCTTCCGCCCTGCAATCTAGGGTCGGCAGGGTGGTTCAGGACCTCGGACAGTTCCCACCCGAGCCACCCAGTTTAGCCCCAGCTGGGTCTCGTAGAGGAGACCCGAATGATCACAGCGCAGGCACGTCGGGTGCGCTAAGGTGGGCAGAAATAAAGAGGATTCGGGAGTCTGACTCAAAAAATAAAAAAGTCTAGGATGCAAGGAGTTGATTGTAACTTTTAGCCTTTTCTCTCCTGCCCTCATTTCCAACGTTCATTTGCGCTAGACGGTATGGTGTCTTTTAAGTGACACCTACCCGGAAAATCGGGAGGAAGAGGAGCCAAAAGACCGGGTTCTCCCGAGAGCTCCCCAGAAGGCGGTAGGAGTCTCAGGGGTCCTAGCAGCCCCACTCCCCGGGGGGGAAGGCGGCTGGCGGGTCCTGGAAGATGCCGCTCAGCGTCGCAGCCGTTCACCCACCGTCTGGAGGCTGGCCCTCGCGGCTCTGCCGCCGGCGACCTCTCACACCACATTCAGTGGAGAAAGTTTTCAAAGAGCTCCGGATCGCGACGAGCCAAAGGCGCCTCAGGTTGGCGATTTGAGCCGGGCGAGAGCATCCCGCGTTCCCGGGGCAGGGTGTCCCGGGGTAAAAGCGAGGTTCCGCGTTGCCGCGCCCTTACCTGTCGCAGAGAGGCTGCTGTCTGGGCGACTCCCGCTGCCCGGCAGAGAGGGTGCTCGGCGGCCTCTCTCCGTCCTTCACTTTTCTTCCCTTCTTTCTCTTCTTTCGCCGCCTCCTGGTCCCGGTCGCTGTCCTAGGTCCTTATATACCTCGCCGGAGTGGGCGCTGGACGTGAACTTCCCGGGCAGCATAACAAGCAACTCCCCCGTCTATGGGAAGGGGGGCCATGGAGCGCAGGAGGGGGGTTTCCAGGTAGAGGCTGAGCGCAAGGGCAGACGTGCCCGGGAAGGGGACTGGATCTCTGCCCTCCGAGGCTGGAATTAACACTGTCCTGCAGAAGGGCACACCTGGCAGCCCACAGGAAACAACTTAATTAAGGACGGTGTTGGGTCACCCGCTGAGACGACCAGGAGGCTTAGCATTCCGGTGTGGGATGGGCCTGGTGCGCCCTCTGAGGTCGTTGAGTAGAGGGTAAAATTACTTGTGTGCGTGCGTGGGCTGGCATTTGCCTCGTTTGCATTTGCAGGTAAATATCACCACAAGGGGAGGACGTTTGTAATACCTCAGATTTCCCCAAAGTTTGGAAACTGATGTGAAGATGTCACCAGGAAGCACAATCCCTCTGTTCCAGGTTGGGGGGGGCCAGGGGCAGTGAAGGTCAGGAGTCACACACCTAAGGCCCAGGACAGGTTGTCTTCTTAGGTGTGAAGGTGAGTTGCACTGCTCTCCACCCCCGCATGCTCCCCAAGGACCTAGCCCAGGGCAGGGTGCTTCCTATGCCTCAAACCCCAAGGAGAATGCTGTTAACCTTAGACTATTAATGAGGGTGCTCTGTGAAGAGTAGCTAAAGTACTTTCCTTGTGGTACCTGAGCCCTCCCCATGGCCATGAACTGGCAGAGCAGTCTGGGGACTCTATCTTCTCCAAGACTGGCCTTGGAGTTCTGGCTTGGCTCTAATCCCAAATGTCAGGGCAGGGAGGAGACAACAGCTCTCAAGCCTGCAGTGGAAGAGACTCTTCCTTAACTAGAGTAAAGAAGCAAAATTAAATTGTGAGGAGTCATGGGGGATGGGAGGTAGTATTGAAAATAACCTGAATTTCAAATCAAGGTGCTTGATTTGAATTCAAGGTGCTTGATTTCAAATCAGGGAACTATCTTTAGTCACAATCAGATGCCCTTTTGGACTCTAACACTTCCTTGAGAATGTCTGATTGGTGACATTTGCCTTGTATTCAGCAATTCTTTCCTTTTGGGCCACAGGAAAGATCCAAGCTCCTTAACAGTAAGCAAGGTAGTTTATCCCTTGGTCTTGGCTTCTTTCCAAGGTCGTCTTCCACCCCTCCATTGTGTATCCTGGCACTTGAACCATCCACAACTTTCCCATTCCCATGAACACTGTTTCCTCAAGCCTCTATCTCTTTGTCCATGCTACTCCCTCAACTAAAACACCCTTCCTCTTTCCAGCCACCCAGAAAAATTGAATTCTTGCATTAAGATCCAGCTCATCCATTGTCACCTGTTTTCTGAAGCCCTCCTTGGCCTCTTGTCCTATTTGTGACATAAACATGGCTTTCTCTCTTCTCCAGAGAACCCCATTCCCATCTCATCTTGTACATACAGACTTCATTGCTGGAAAAAAATTTAACTCAGTCTTCCTTCCCCTTACCACCCACCCCTACCCCTGCTACCTCCAGGCTTGTGAGCCTCACAATCATATTGTGATTTTATTTTATTTCTCTTTTTATTATTTTTATATCTTCAAGAGGCAGCTGCCAGTAGCAGAAAAGCCAGACCAGGATAAGTTCAGATTGAGCCAGCGTCTGTCCTCCTTTGTCAACCGAGTTCTTAATTACATGCAACCAAATAGAAAGGCCATTGAAACACATTTAGAATCACTGGGCAGGCTGGGGAACCAAGATTTCAAAATGGGCAGGGACAAAATGTGGCTGGAACCATGGCCAAAATCTGGCTGCTGATTGGATCCAATGAGAAAGAAAACCAGATTACTACTGGGAACAGGAGGCCACAAGTGGCACTGTCAGCACCATGGACATTGGACATAGATGTCATTTCTAGCCTCAGAATAAAAAGAAGTGGAAAGTTGCTGTTCCCACCTCAGCTGATGCCACCAGAAAGCAATGATCACTGCCCCCAGTTCCTTGTGTCACAAGGTCCTCTTTGAAAGCCTAATTGTCTGTGACAATAATATGATTTTCCCCTTTTTTCTGATAATGTGGCGAATCACATTGTTGATTTTTAGTGTTATACCTACCACCCATTCCTGGATTGAGCCCAATTTCATTATGACGTGTTATCTTTATATAGCACTAGGTTCAATTTGCTAATATTTTATTTAAGATTTTCAGGTCCATGTTTATGAGATTGGCCTGTAATTTTCCTTTTTTTGTAGAATTCTTGTCAGATTTTGGTATCAAAATTATACTGTTTTTATAAAACAAGTTGGAAATCCCCACCCCATTTTTTATAGTTCAGTAGAAGAATTTATGTACAATAGTGTTCATCTTTTCCTCAGATGTTTAGGATGATTCATCAGTGATGCCATCTAGGTCTTTAAGATTGTTTGTTTATTGAACTGTTTTAAATTTCAGATTCAATTACTTAAACAGCTCTATTCAATTGTCTGCTTCTTGTGTTGGTTTTATTTTAATAAGATGTATATTTCTAGGAATTTGTCCACTTCATCTAAATTTTTTAATTTATTGACTTAAAATTCGTTATTTTATCTTCTTTTTTTTATATAAAGATTTTTATTGGGGAATTGGGGGGATGGGAACAGTGCTGGGGAATTGGGGGAAGGGGAACAGACAAGTTGCTGTCGTTTTGTTCTTCAGTCTAGTTGTGGAGGGCGTTGCTTCACTGGCCCAAGTTGGCACCATCATTGCGCTCTTCCCTGGCAAGGCAGATCAGTCGCTGGCTTCTGGACGGCCGCTCACTGCGGCTACTGGCCGCTCACGCTGGCTGCTGGCTACATACGGTACCCATGGCAACCCACTGCCACAGGGACTGCAGCCTACGCCGTCGCCAGCGACTCATGGCAGCCCAGCTCCAGGTTGAGCTGTTGTTCAGCATCTTAGCTGTAGAGGGCAGTGTCACTGGCCCTCATATGTGGGATCCGAACCGGGGCCCTCTGGCATCCCAAGCGAGTTCTTAACCATCGCGCCACTCGGCCGGCCCTTTATCTTCTTTTTAACATCAATGAAATATGTAGTTATGGTCCCCTTTTATCTCTGATATTGGTAATTTATGTCCTCTCTTTTTTCTTGATTAGTTTTCTGAGGAGTTTATCAATTTTATTAAGTGTTTTTAAAGAATCAGTTTTGGTTTTGTTGATTTTCTCTATTGCATGTATACTTTTCTTTCTATTTCTGAAATTTCTACTGTTCTTATTTCTTGCCTTCTAATTTCTAACTAGTTCTTTTTCTATCCTACCAAGTTGGACATTAAATAAATACTTTTGCTTAGATAACCGATATTTAACCTTTATTCTTTTAGATATATGTATTTATGTCTACAACTTTCTTTCTAAGTATGGCTTTAGTTGTATCCCACAAGTTTTGATATGTCATATTTTTATTACCATTTAGTTTAACATATCTTCCTGTTTTCATTGAGATGTCTTGCTTGACCTAGGGGTTACTTAGACTGTTCTGTTTAACTTCCAAACATTGGGGGTTTTCTAGTTATGGTTTGAACCTAATTTTTAGTCTAATTCCCCAGTGGTCAGAGAACCTGCTCTATTTGATTTCAGTCCTTTGCAGGGCACTGATTAATGAATGAGCATGTGGTCCATTTTGATTAATGTTTGATTCATGTGCAAGTCAAAAGAATATGTATTCTATGGTTGCTCAAATATTCTATATCCTTTCTATACCTATATCCTTTCTGGTTATTTGCCATCTTATTCCATTAGTTACTGATTGAAGTATGTTTTTAAAATCTCCCCATTCTTTTTGTGGATTTACTACTCCTCCCTTTGGCAGGAGAGATTTCTTTCTAGAAATCTAATGGTGGATGTGGGGCAGTGGGGGAGGGTAATATAGGATCAGAATGGTACTAGAGCATGGCTGCATGCTAATGGGAATAATTGAGTAGAGAGTGGGAAATTGATTTTGCAGATCAGAGTAAGGGAAACCAAGTAATCCAAGCTTTAAGTAAGTGAGATGGGATATCCAGAGGAAGAACCCAGCCTGCAAACAATAGAGGGCCTTCCTCCTCTGTAACAGGAGGGGGAGGAGTGGAGGGAGGTGCAAACTCAGGTAAACTTACAGCATAAGCCATGGAGGGTGATGGGCTTCTGCCTGTCCAAAGCCTTTACCTTTTAACCCAGCATTTCCTGGGAATTATCCTGGAGAAATTATCACCCTAAATGCTGTTCAAGACTATTCATTCAATATTGTTTATAGTAGCAATAAAGCAAAAATAAATTAAGTACCTATAGTAGGGTATAATTATAAAAATTATGGTAAAGCCATACAAGGAAATGCTCTGCAGCCATTCAAAATAATAATGTCTATATTTACTTCTAGACATAATAAAATTACCACTATATGTTGTTAAGTGAAGTATGATAAGATATAAATATAGCTAGCAATGGAGATAGAAATAGAGATAAAGATTAAAAGCTATCAAAGTATGAATAGCAATTGTTTTGGTTATCTAATACTATATCACAAAGCACCACCACCCCAAACTTAATGGGTTAAAACAACAATATTCATTTTGATCATGAATTTGCAGTATGACGGGTTTGGCGAAGCCAGCCTGTCTCTGCCTCACTTGGCATCGGCTTGGGCAGCTCAAAGGCTGAGGTGATAATTATCTGACGCTGCCCACTCACATGACTGGTTCCTGAACTGAGGAGACTGAAGCAGCTGGAGGCAAGAGGGTTCGGCTCCTCAAACACCTGTCTGTATCTCTGTGTAGGCTTGCCATGTGACCTCTTCAGCATGGCAGCTTTACAGGAACCAGACTTCTGACACGTAGGCTCAGGCCTCCCAGCATGCATCTGGACGCAATTTGCCCTGCCAGGTAGAGGGGATGAGTGGTCCGCGAGGACTTCCCAGAGAAGGGGGTGCTGAGTTGG